CAGGAGCGAATCTAGGGGGAGGGAGCAGGGGGTGCCCCCCCCCCCCCCCTCCTGAGATGAAGTCTTCTTTGTATTATCTACCTCACCAGTCAGTTATGCTATTCCTTAGTGGTACACCCCTCCTAAGAAAAATCCCGGATTCACCCATGATCTTTACCCTTAAATACCTACAAGATTACAAGAGTCAGGTCACTTATGGAGCAGATCAACAATGTTGACAACTTCTTTTACCTGATCCTCATTTATAGCCATCCCACAGCTGGCAGACTCTTGTGTGAAAACTTTGGAAAATTTGAATTAAACCCCTAAAGCCTGGTCCTCACTAGCTACGCAAGCATAAGCATAAGCATAAGCATGAGAAGCTTATGCGCTAGAGGGGATGGCTGGACATAAGCATAAGCATAAGAATATCAAAACCTAGCTTGCATTCTTCTTCTACTTGTGCTTATGTCGCTATCCAGTGGGGACATGTTGGCATAAGCATAAGCATATTAAGTGAAAGACTCTAAGCCATTGAATCAGCGAGCACTTTATGCTTATGCCAACCACGTCCACACTGAACATAAAATCGACATAAGCATAACCATAAGAAAAATGCTTATGTTTGTGTCACAGCCCTCCCCACAAGCACATAAGCTTCTAATGCTTATGCTATAAGCCTTGTGTCGAAGACCAACCTGGGGGTGACTCAAGCTTTTTTTGACCCCTAATAGGATACTACTTTTATTAAAATGGACATGACCGCTTTTTATATTTTTTCTTTGAGTGCAACCCTAAAAGATACCTTGATAGCGAAAAATAATTATGGCATTTTGTCCTGAACACGCTAAAAGAGACCAAAACCCATGATTTAAATCCCTAAGCAGGTGTAAGCAAGACAACAAGCATCTCTGACTTATTGGTGGTTACATTCAGGTGTGACCAGGTCAGAACCTCAGGTCACTATAAATCATGCCCTATTCTGTCAACAGCTGACCAAAGCACTATTGTTTTATCTTCCAACTGGAGGAGAGCCTGTCACAAGCCGTGGGTCAAAACTCACCAAGCGTCTCCCTACGGTGAACAATACTCACTAACCCCCAGGGAAACAACACATGATCAGGTCATGCACCTTGAAACCGTGGCAAAAATTTGTTGTGCCAGCTGGCGTCAGGCAAGTTATTTTTTCACAGTTTTTGTTCTATTTTTGAGTTGGAAGGTTTAACCAGTGAGTTTTGTTTCTCCTCAACCTCAGCGTTCATTGGGGGAGTCAGGGAAACAAAACTCACTGTTTCCCTTGGGGCCAGTCATTAAGTGCTTATTCATAGACACATTTTCATGTCATCTTTGAGTTTAACAACCAATGACATCACAGGGTTCCTAACAAGTCAGTTTCAAGAACCCCAGAGTTAACACCATTGACTGAGGCCATGTTTACCAAGAGGTAGGGTAACTCCAGGGGTGGATCCAGGATTTTTCGTAGGACTGGGTGCACCACTAAGGAATGGCATAACATAGTTTTTTTGGGGGCAGAATACTAGTTATGTTAGAAAGCCACATGTCATCTCCGGGGGGGGGGNGGGTATGTGCAATCCCTGCACCCTCTCCCTAGATCTGCTCCTGAACCCTCTTGCTGGGGTTACATTAGCAAGAGGGTTACCCTAACACTCCCACATTTCTTATTGAAATTTTCATGGATGTGTTAAACAATGGTGGGGTAACCACAACTTTATTTGGACTCCAAGGAACAAAATATGATAAAAATATCAGCAAATTAATACAAATGACTGAAGAAACATCCAATTAATTCACATTTTGTTTTAGTTTTGCTTTGGATAGAAAAAATTTCAAATTACAGCTTTTTGCGCCCAAATGTTTGCAATAAAAATATTTGATTGCACAATAATATTGTTGATAGTTTTGCTGTCAAATTAATCCCAAGCTAAAGAAAAATAACTGAGTGGGATTTATTAGAACTGTTAAACCACATAATTCAAATCTACAAGCTGTTGGGAAATTATAGATCATTAACAGGTTCCTATTTGCGTGGTTAAAATTTACGTGTTTACAATAACTAAGAGATCCACAAATGCGGATTGAAGGTGGCCGAGCTGCCCATGTTTGCTGGTGACCTGGCAATCGCACGTATAGAGAGTTTTACTTTGGTTGACATTACAAGAACAGTGACATTCTTGTCCCAGATGCCGCACTCCTTTTGGTCAGCACCAAGAATTGCGACCTCTGGGCTGGTCCAACACCAATTCAAGTACGCGATTCACAGCCTTTCCATCAAATTTGGCAAATCTGATTGGCTGAGAATACGAAACAAAAACTCTGGTGCTGACCAAAAGGAGCGTGGCCTCTTGGGAGGAGAATGGAACAGTGACTGCTGGGTTATGAGCAACTGTAGAGTAGCACGTGCGCGTATAGCGTGGTATATGCTTTGTGTTGTGAAGTCTGGGTACGACTTTTTTGCCAATCGATAATGGTTTTTGTGTGACTATCAATTGATCATGATCAATGCAAGCCAATTGCACACACAAGCGAGCTACTATGCACCTTCACAGTGAGTGGCCCTGAATTGTGCAGTTGCCTACATATTCTCCTGATTCCCGGAGACATCAAGCTTAAGCGTGTTAATTAGAAAGTAAACTTAAAGATTGTAGATTAAGGAATAAACATATCAATAAGTTAAGAGCTTGGCTTACCATTTGTTCGTAAGCTTGTGGAGCAATTTTGTTCGTGATCTTCACGATACCTGCTGCGCAAAAAGAAAATACAAGAACCCCAGCGACACAGCTCTTTAGGACTGCGATGACCATCCTATCAGCCGAGGTTTGATCGACAAAACATATAACAGCGAGTGGAATATACGAGATGAACTGCGAGCGGGAGCAGAATCCCCAAACGTCCTGGAAAAATCCCTGGAAAAATATAACGCCCGGGCGGAGTATGGGGTTTGGTCACGTGATTTTTGCTGTGATCCCTGACCAGGCCCAGACCCCAAAGCAGAAACGCACATATATAGTTCATGTGGTAAGTATATCTAATGAATCTGGCATGTGGACAAAAGCAGCCACAAGGAAGTTTAAATTTTGTTTCTCTCTACTGAGGTGTTAAAGAAACAAAGGCTACCAAAGGCACTACCTCTTTCGCGGTACAGTAGGTTCTATAGGGAGTACAATATTTCAAACGGCATTCCTAAATAGCGAAGATATCAGTTTACAAACATTGACGTCATTTTCATAGAAAACGTACCCCTTTCGGATACCTTTGATTGAAAAAAATGTATCCCTTTCACATACTTTAAATGAACAAATCACCAGAAAAAGAAGACTTGCCATTTTCATGTTGCGCCTAATAAACGATATGGTACGGACATAAGGTGCGTCTGTCCAAAATATTTTAAATTAAAGGCCTTATAAAATAACTAAATGACAGATTTCCCTACTCTTTCATATACCTCAACTTGTAAAGTCCCCTCCCTTAAACCTGAAGCCAGAAACGAAACGGTAACCCTTCTGGACGGAGCGTGCCTCAGAAACGTTCACACGCTCCTCAGCTGCTGGTCAAGGGGAACGCAGACTCTAAGTACGTGATTAAAGATGAAAACACAATCAGTTCATAGGGACTTCACGAAGCCGGAGAAGAAAGGGACGAGAAGAGACGCCGAGCCAGACCTCACACAAAGGTCAACTTTGGCTAGTGTTGATCATTAATAAACAAACTTAATAGGACTGCAATTAAGGCTGTAGGTCTAGTCTCGCTGAATTCATTGAGGACACTCTTTCTAAAAAATTCACACTTCTGTGATATGACAGTTGCACGAACAAACTAAACTTGATTGGTTACTCTTGTTAGGGGACAAATGATATACTGTGAGGGGACGGGGGCCTCTGTGTTGTCCTTTCCCTCTCTCGCCACCTCCCCCTCCCCCCACTACCCCACCCCACCAACCATTCAGGGATTTCGTGTTTGGCAATTACTCGGACCAGGGCTTGCTTTTCAGGCCTCGCGCGGGCATTTCGGGACTAATATGAATGTTGCCGCTTTGTATTTTGCTGAAAAAACGTTAATTGGTTACGGAATATGGAGAAGTGAAAGTTTGGAAAGTCATTGTACAGCTGTCCTTGCTGAAAACAATAATAAACTGATAGAAGCAGTAGAAGTGATACCAGTTTTACTGAACATCACGCCATGATCATAAGTTTTAGCCAAATTCCGGGGGGATACTACTATAACGTCCTATACGGGGAGGTTCCGCCTGGGAGGGGTACCTTTTTCAGGCTCCAGCTATACAGAAGGGTAGGGATTTCACAAGCCGAGATATAAGAAAGGGTGGGGAAATCTGTCATTTAGGTACAACGTGAACGTGAACTTAATAGGTAATCATCGTTTTTTTTTTGGTTGACATCTCCTGTGGTAATGCTTGATGTTCTCCGGTAATATTGTTTATTGACTTCACTCCAAGGGTTTAGAAAAGGGATGCAATGTTCTTAAGAAGGTATGTAAAAGGGGTACGTTGTTCAATAAAAGGCGTACGAAACGGTAAGGGGTTGGGCCTTTGGGCGGGGCCTCCCCCGTATGAAACTTTATAGACTACCCCCGTCTCCCTCCTCCCCCCCCCCGCCCCCCCGGTAACAAATACAGCAGCACATGAACCACACAACACGATGGCCTCATAACAACTGTGTATATAAATTAACCCAGGTCAAATCGTCCTGGACAGTGGAAATGCCGATTTTTTTGTACCATCTTGGGGGGACAAAAATTGGTCGTAAAATCAGGAAGTTCGAAAATCGATTGAACAGAGGAGAATCCTGATTTGACAAACCCTCGAGTACCTTAAGCGGGAAATTCTTCAATCATAAATATATCAAGACATGATTCACAGCTCGCCATTCTCAAAGACAACTGTTGAATTTCGGTCTTAATGATTGTCAATCACTGAACGAGCGTTGTATTTTCAAATCAACAAAACCGATAGTCTACAACACTTTCAATCGCTGCAAGTAAAGCAAAGATAGAGATCATTTCAGCGTTCGTATATTTTTTCTAAATTTTCTCTTCCTAAAACCCTGGATTACATCAGGAGAGGGTAATTTCGAGATGTGGTCATCGGTAACGCGAGAAGCGCGCGCAACACGCGCGTTTTAGGCACATGTGTCTCGCGAGTTTTGAGTTCATCTTATGCCTAGCCGAAAGTACCAAGTACTGCAAAATCGCCTTAAAGCCTGTAAAGAGAGAAAGCTTACAAGTTGTAACTGAGCCGTCAGAGTACTGTGTTGCCTTTGTGTTACTTCATCTTCACAGATAAATACATTTACGCAGACATTGTCAGTGAATATTAAAAGTCTCCTCTACTCTGTGTTCTGAAACTAAAAATAAAATTCTCGAGCAGCTAGACATGAATGTTATTAGCACTTGTCAAAGCCATGAGCTGCTGTTTTGTATTCCAAATTCCAGCACTCTCCACGCTGATCTGTGGTCCAAAATGCTTTGGTCTCGGCATAGTGCCCAAACGTAGCTGACATTTTCAATGTTATCCTGGAAAAAAAAAAACAAGTTAGTATGTTTATATCTGTACACGGGCAATGTTGGCTTATATGTTCAAAAACGTTATAAAACGAGCTGTGATATATACTAAATTGCAAGCCGATAAACTAGATGGCCGAAACTTTGGCTTGAAAATGGAAAATTTGAGACGTTAAGCAGCAGTTTTGCTGGGAACGACTGCAGGAGCAGCGCGTGGGCGGTACGTTTGACCGCTGAAGAATTGCAGGCTATCATTAGTATCACAACAACTTGTACCAACAATTCGCCGGTGCCAATTTCTACATCTAGTTGGAGGAGAGAAAATTATCTGGAAGTGTCCTTAGGTAGGCCCGATCTGAATGCTCTCAACCTTGATTTCAACGCATCCTCAAACACGTCTTATAAACAGAAAAAACTTAACAAGTGTTTTTAAATGTTTAATACACCTACTTACTTCACCGCCCTCAACGATATTACCAACAGCGTCTCTAAGGATCATTATCTGCTGGACCATAAACGTCAGCACTAAAACGGGCCCTTGTTCCATGACCTTGGCCATTGCAACCTGAGAATGACCAGGTATTGATAAATCAAAGCATGGTCTTTTTTATAGCAAAAAAAGTTCGAGAAACTTTTCTTTCCTCATCAGATCTTAAACATTTATCTATCAGGCCAGACAAACTGTTAGCTAACTGTTAAAATCATTTGAATCGCAAACACAAGTCAGTAAATTAGTGGAATACACGGACGATTTAGTAGAATGTGTTACGCTATTGAATTACATGCAACCAACAATTCACTACTTTCTACCGACCAATGACTACAACGTTTAATTCATATTAATTTTATTAACCAATGGTAATACAGTCGAACCTCCCGCAAGCTCCCACCCAAAATGTCAAGCCTAGGTGGTTGCTTATGGGAGGTGGTCGCTTACGAGATCTTCGACCATATTGGGTCAAAATTTTGCCACATTAGCATATGGTAACTGTAGAGACTTATCCCATGTTTTAAATGTTTTATTCACTTGAAAAGTCAATTTCGAGAAAAAAATCCTGTACTTCCCATTGTGAAATTTTCCTCTCTTGAACTACCCAGGAATGGGATAATGTCCAATTTACGCTTTATTATCTGTCAAGTGGTCGCTTAAGGGAGGTTAAAAACTGAAGAAAATTTCAAACTTTTAACTGTATAGGAGGTCGCGGTTGCTTACGAGAGGTTCCAAATATAGTGATTTGACCTGGAAACTTTTGGTATTTTGGAAAACTGGTCGCCGAGGAAAGGTGGTCTCTTACGAGAGGTGGTCGCAACCGGAGGTTCGACTGTAATTAACTGTTTTTTGGGAGGGCAACATTAATGAGCCGCTGTGCTATGCAAAAGAGCATAGGGCTTAAAGGTCTTCAGTTTTGTGGAGCGTACTTAGCAAAGACGAAAAGTCGAGGTTTACGAGGTAAGCTCCAGTATTTGCAGGGCGTGCAAAGGAACAAGGCTGATAGCGGAGGGGGTGGGAGCTGTATGCGTCCTGCGCTGAACAGAACAAAGTGTTACCTAACACATGACTTTGCTCAGTTGTTTTATGCTCTTACTCACGTCGACATCTCTGACATCCAGGATTTTTGCTTCAAGTTTTTGTCCCAGCTGTCTGGTTTGTTCGATCTGGGCAGCTAATACATTATATGCCTAGGACAAGAGCACCATTAGAATCTGGTAACAACGATACCTGGCCTACATGTACCTTGAGATGTTCAGTAGTTGTACAACCGCGATTTTCAAACTATTTAAGGGGCTCAGTCATGGTTTGCGTATATTGAAAAGTTTTCTTTTTCAAATTCGTCATTTGTAATCCGTGATAATCTTCTCCATCCTTAGCCATCCTTGTTCCTTTATGGTTTATCACTATCTCTTTGGTGTTTTTCTATCTTATTAAACTGTTATTTTCAGGTTTTCTACCATTTAAAGGTAATTTTGTATGTGGCCAAAATAACTCAAAATATCGTGACTGAGCTCCTTTAAACCAACTTATGTACCGTCATCATTGGATCATTACGTGAAAAGCCAAGCAATCTCTATATGACATTCAATGTTAGCTTACTAGACTAGTCTGTGCCGCAATCCAAAGCTGGCCCATGGCAATCGTCTTTCAGTGATGCGAGAATAAGCGAGGTTTGGGGGTACGATGGACTACAGTTAATTTTTTTCCTTGCTTAAATACCAGGCGCTTTCAGTTTGACCAAAAATTCTGGTTTGAGTTTCCGGAAATTTCTGCTGGCAAATAGAACATCTGGAATTTCAAGAAAAAAATCACAACCTCACGAGGTATACCCAAATTTTTGACAATTTCTCAGTAGTAATAACCTTTGAATTCGATTTTTTTTCCTATCTGAATTTTCAGAATTTTCGGTCGAATGGTTCGCAGTTTGGATTTTTCACAATTCTCTGATTTTCCGTAAACTTTCCCAACAACGTTCTCAACCATTTGACGCAGTTTAGAAAGATCCGGAAATTTTTAGTTGACTGGAAGGCGCACAGGGTTACTTAGTTAGTTTGCAGCTTACTCAACAGATATCCACTTTAGAGACAACAACTACCCTGCGTAGCTAGCGAATAAGTTGGGGCACAGCGCGCGAACAAGAAGCTAGAGAGGCGATGCCGTAAGGGGCCTGGTAGGAGAAACGAAAAACCGTTTTCTCCCAGGCCATTTCACTTATGTCCAGGATTGAACACAAGTATTGTTTAATTAGTACTTCATATTCGGCAGGGTTTTTAACATTTTCATATTACTTCATATTTGACAGAATTGTGTGTGTTTAGGTGACTTTTTACCAATGAGGACACTTTGTGATGCTAATCATTTGAATCTCATTAGAATTTGAATCTCGTTAGCGTTCAATCCTGAACATATCTGCGCCATTTTCGCAGATCACGCCCTATACGGTCCTGTACCCCAACCAACTAAACCACCAACTACGCAGGCTAATAACAATCCCTTGAATGAATGAAAGACTTTATTAAGTGTCAATAGTATTTAGCTTAATAAACTAATTGGGAACACTATTTAACTATTCATTTATCTTCAATAAAAAGCATACATTCTCTACAGTGGTGCTCTAACTTAGGGCATCCTGGGCCATTTTTTCAGGCAACAGCTTTGACAGATGATTCATGTAACACTTACCGGTTCGTGGCACCAGTCTTTTAAGATCTCCAGGTCACCTTTAAGGAAAGCCTAAGAAATACGAGAAAAATCACATCTAAACGCTGCTGAAAATCATTCGTGAAGTAATATATCAAACACGAGAAACCGTGTTTTACCACATTTCTACACATCGGGCAGAGAGTTAACCAACAGCGCGCAGAGGAGTACTCAAGGGGTATGGAAAAGTGGTAAATCACTGTTTCGTGTGTTTGAAAGGAATTCTCTATCGAAATTGAAACTATGGAGAAAACAGAGAAATAAAATCGTTGAAATATATGTTTATTAAAACCCTTTCGCCTCAGGAGAGCACTTATGTACTTGTGACTTCCCCATTAGGCTCATATTTTGTTGATTTTTATGAGTTGTTCTGTAGGGCTCTACTTGTTGAACGCAAAATTTTTGGCAGAGATTGCCACCTGGTTTTCACTTCTCTAACACCATATCTTATTTCAAGCCCAATACCATGATTTTGAAACCTTTTTCAGACCTATCTGAGACTGCTTTGACGGGCTTCCATTCACGAAAACACAGACGAATTTTTTTCAATAATAAGAAATCTGAGGTGTTATTTTTCTGCCTCGTTTCCTTGTTTCAGACCAATCACCAAATATCTATCCCCTATTTCAGACCTAAAATGCTCGAGAAAAACACCACTTGAGGTGGCTGGTGACTTCATTACACTTAGTAAGGGCCACCCTACCACACAGTGTTTTTGGCAAATGTTCACGAGTTGTCTGTACAGAATGAAAATGTTGACTACAAAAACGATACTCTCCTTGTGTTCTGTGTTCTCTAAGCTCTCAAGCACCTGATAAAATGTTATAGAGCTGGCCAAAGCATGAACTCTGCTCAGAATAACTTACCTCTAAAACTGAAGGGATAATTTCAAATTCACACTCTTTTAGAAAGCTGTCCTTGTTAAACTGTGGATCAATTCTTGAGATTTCAGCCATTGTCTTGGCTGTGTCAGATTGTGAAAACACATCGCCTAAGAGGAAAGATAACAGCTTTCATTGTTACATCTGACCTCAATATCTTGAACTTAAATTCCCTGCTATCCCAAACTCAACTACTTTTCCCTCGGGTATGTTTTTTTTCAGTTATCTACCGTTGGCTATCTCAAGCCTCCCCCTCTCATGAGTTTCAGGCAACACCCAGGGCCGGGTTGTGAGAAAGCCGATCTAAAAGTTAACCAAAGTTTCTATTTTTCTTGTACGAATATGTTTTTCACTGCTTACGTTTTGTGTAGTTTGAGATTACCCTACATCAAATCTGAAGGACAAACAATATAAACAGAAAACCCTGCCGAAAAGTTCAAAACTGAAATCAAAATTCTCGCTAATCCTAGGTTTGCTTGATTGGACTTTGAACAACCTACAATCTTGGACAAAATAAATGGAACATCTGGACCACCCCTCCCCCCATTTCAATGATGCCAAAATGGCGCGCTTTTGCTCCTTCGCGCCTTCATCATTGCTTTGGGGGGGATGGGGGATAATTGTTCCATTTTATTCTGTCCAAGATTGTAGCCTAGGAGTAAAGATCGTTTTCACGCGACGTCATCACGTTCGAAAATCCAAAACTAAAGAGCCACCAAAGTTTTTATCCTCATCAGGCATAAGAGGCGGTATATTTATATCTGTTTACAATTTTACAGCTCAATAAC